CCAGAGCCCAGCAGGTCAAGGTCCCAGCCACCGCACTCCAGTCTGGGCGACAGAGTGAGACTCCAACTCAAAAAAAAAAAAAAAAAAAGACTGGAACGTCTGACACTTGCTGACCTCCCTGGTTAACAAAGAGAAGACGGCTATCAGATCAGAGCTTGACCCCGGAGGACTGAGTGAGGTGGTTTTCCTTTTTTTTTTGGTTGGAATTGGGGTCTCACTCTGTCACCCAGACTGAAGGACTGTGGCATGATCACTGCTTACCACATCTCCACCTCCTGCGCACAGACGATCAAAGGTTTGGGTGGTTTACTTTTATTGTGTTTATTTTTGCAGTTACCTTCGACCTATTGAAAATGATGCCAGATTCCTATTGGTGCAGGTGGCATGGTTTTCCTTTCAATAATTTGCTTTAAAAAAAAGAGCGGAAGCCAGGTGCAGCAGACACCCGTCATCATAGCTACTCAGGAGGCTGAGGCAGGAGGCTCGCCTGAGCTCAGCTGTTCAAGATCAGCCTGGGCAACACAGCAAGATGCCATCTCTTTTTATAAAACAATTAAAAAATTAGCCAAGTGCAGTGGCTCATGCCTGCTGTCCCACATACTCAGGAGGCTGAAGCAGGAGGATCACCAGAGCCCAGGAGTTTAAAACCAGCCTGGGCAACATAGAGAGAACCTATCTCAAAAAAAAAAAAAAAAGCCGGGCGCGGCAGCTCAGCCTGTAATCCCGCGCCTTTGGGAGGCTGAGGTAAGTGGATTGCCTGAGCCTGCGGGTTCGAGACCCGCCTGGGCAACTTGGCGAGACCTCATCTCTACAATAAATCAAAAAATCAGCCGGGCGTGGTAGCGCGCGCCTATAATTCCAGCTACTCAGAAGGCTGAGGTGGAAGGATCGCCGGAGCCCAGCGGGTCGAGGCTGGGGTGGCCGGGAGCGGCCACTGCACTCAGTCTAGGCAACGAAGTGAGACTCCAACTCAAAAAAAAAAAAAAAAAAGGCAGAAACAAAGAACAAAGACCTGGTTTAAGAAAAATGTCAGATGTCAAAGTATAGAATAAGGGAAAAATTGAGGAGGTGACCTGTGAATCACCTTTTAAGAAGCTACAATGACTGTGGGTTTTCCTGGCCCAAGAGGCAGGCCTTCCTGGCTCCATGGGGAATGGAGGCTGTGATGAGCCAGACAGCCCTGGGGTGGCCCTTCTCAGCGCCTGGTCTCTCTCTGTCACCTCTCCTCCTCTCCTCCTTCCCTCAGGCCTGCATCCTCCCCAAAACTGGGAAGAAACTCAGGGAATGTGACAGCCATCTCATCCTGATGCAGTTATGGCAGCCATGCCTGCCGCCAATCCTACCACCACCTCCAGTCAGTGCCCCTGGGTGGAAGAGGAGGAGCCCAGATGATAGGGAGGAATAGGCAGCATGAGATACCAAAGTCAGACACCGGAAGAAACATGGGCAGCCGGAGTCAGAAGATGCTGGACAAGCCTGAGTATTTCCCCAGTGAGAGCAGGGCAGAAAAAAGGGCACTGTGGGGCAGACGGGGAAACTCAAAGGTCAGTGGGGACCAGCCAGGTCAGCCAATGCAGCCCCGGGCCGCCCAGTGATGGAAGGACTGATGACGGCATTCTGGGAACGGCATGGGGGTCGTCTTCTCTGCTCCTGCCAGTTATGCCTGCTGGAGTATTGCCCAGATCTTGAGATGCAATCTCCAATTTTTTTTTTGAGTTGGGGTCTCACTCTGTTGCCCAGGCTGGAGTGCAGTGGCACGATCGCAGCTCATCACAGCCTTGGCCTCCTGGGTTCGGGCGATCCTTGTGCTTCAGCCTCCCAAGTAGCTGGGACTACAGGCACACGCCACCACACCCAGCTAATGTTTTATTATTTTTTTTGTAGAGAAGAGATTTTGCTGTGTTGCCCAGGATGGTCTCAAACTCCTAAACTCAAGCAACTCTCCCGCCTTGGCCTCCCGAAGTGCTGAAATTACAGGTGTGAGACACCACACCTGGCCTCCCAATTTTGTAATGCAAGCCAGCAGGCCGGACTTGGCCCAAGGGTTGCCCATTTGCAGCCTCCGTCTGGTGCCAGTAGGATGGGACCAACTGACCACGGGAGGTCCCCTGGGTGAACTTCCAGGCTGGTGTCCCTGATGGCATAAGCACATATGAAGTGCCTGCTGTATGCCCAGGATTCTGCCACTAGCCCAGTTCCCCCCCAGTGTGGTTGAGAAGAGAACTCTGGAGTGTGGGGAGGAGGAAGGTGGGCTGGCCTGGCCCAGGGGAGGGGATACTCACAGGCCCCCGACTGCAGAGTCAGGACCAGGACCAGGGGGCTAATAACCAGATGCAGACAGTTGAGGGGCCGGTTCCAGTTCTGGTCATCCTTGTCCGGGTCCACGACGGGAACCGTGAGCAGCAGAAGGAACTCCACGGGCAGCTGTCAAGGGGGAAAGGGGCAGGGCATCGGCAGAGAGACCTCAGTCCCGGCTGGCTGTGGATGGACCTCAGTGACCTGAGAGCAAGGCCGTGGCTGCCCAAACACCAACTATGAGAGTCTTCTGTGGCTGCTGGAACAAATGGCCCCGATTGAGTCTTCTGAGGCTGAGCGCAAGGGCTCATGCCTGTAATCCCAGAGCTTTGGGTGGCCGAGGTGGGAGGATCCCTTGAGGCCAGGAGTTCAAAACCAGCCTGGGTAACACAGGAAGACCCCCCCAACTCTACCAAAAAAAATTTTTTTATTTTATTGTTATTACTTTTGAGTCGGGGTCTCACTCTGTCACCCAGGCTGGAGGACAGTGGCACAAGCATGGCTCGCCACAGTCTCAAACTCCTGGGTGCAAACAATCCTCCTGCCTCAGCCTTCTGAGGAGCTGGGACTGTAGGCACGCACCACCAAGTGTGGCTGATTTCTTTTTTATTTTTTGTAGAGACAGATCTCGCTTTGTTGCTGAGGCTAGTCTCAAACTCCTGGCTCAAGCGATTCTCCCACCTTCGCCTCCCAAAGTGCTGAATGACAGGCATGAGCCAACACACCTGGCCCCCAAAATTTTAAATTAGCTGGGTGTGGCAGCACGCGTCTGTAGTGCCAACTACTCAAGAGAGGCAGAAGTGGAAGGATCGCCTGAACCCAGGAGGTCCAGGCTGCAGTGAGCTATGATCGTGCCACCGCACTCCAGCCTGGGTGACAGAGTGAGACCCGCAATTTATTTATTTATTTTAATTAATTAATTGATTTTTTTGAGTTGGAGTCTCACTCTGTCACCTAGACTGGAGTGCAGTGGCCGTTCCCGGCCACCGCAGCCACGACCTGCTGGGCTCTGGCGATCCTTCCGCCTCAGCCTTCCAAGTAGCTGGAACTACAGGCGCGCGCTACCACACCCGGCTAATTTTTGATTTATTGTAGAGATGAGGTCTTGCCAAGTTGCCCAGGCGGGTCTTGAACCCGTGGGCTCAGGGAATCCAGTCACCTCAGTCTCCCAAAGCACGGGATTACAGGCTGAGCCACCGAGCCCGGCTGAGACCCCCCAATTTAAAAAAAATAAATAAAATAATAAATAAATAAGTACTAAGCATGTACGGAGTGCTTACTGTATGCACAGCCCTGTACTCTGTACAACCCTGTGTACTTTGTGCACATCAGTCCATTAAATTGTCACTGTGCCCAACCCTTCCATCCCTTCCTATAACAAACTTAAACACCCATATGCTTTGTCAAGTGACTGGAGTATTTGTCCTATGGATATTGGTCTTGGTCACATGACTTGCTCTGGCCAATGGCTGTTGGCAAATGTGATCTGAACAGAGCCTTGGTACATGTTTATGCAGTTTGCTTTGGCCTCTTCCACTGAGAAAAGAGCATGTCCAGGTCCCCACTGGCCCTAGTATGAGATGGGGTCAGTCCTGAACCACCGGCCACAGCCTGGGGTAGAGTTGCCCCAACTGACCACAGGCCCACAAATGAGAATACCATTGCTGGGAATCACTGAGCTGTGGAGCTGTTTGTTACACAGCATTACATGACTTCAGCACTAACTTGCTGACAGAACCAGAGGAAAGGCACTGGATCATTATCTCCATTTTATGGTGGAGAAACTGAAGCTCGGGGAGGTTAAGTGCCTTGTCTGAGGTCACGACACAGCCAGTGCCACCATGCCGTGCAGATGCAGCTCATTGTTGGCCCCCAGAGACTGAGGAATCCTAAAACATACACAGGTTGGAGGTTTCCAGGCTATCTCCAGGAGGAGCTTCTAAGGATAGGGAGGTGAGACCGCTGGGCCTTTTGGTCAGGTGAGGTATGGCCCTACCTCACAGAAGCCAGCCTGGGGCCCGTGCTCAGATCTACCCTCAGGAGACGACAAGTCCAGGGAAGCATCAGATGATGAGAAAAACTCAGTCTTGGACCAGGCACAGTGGCTCAGGTCTGTAATCCTAGCACTTTGGGAGCCCAAGGCAGGAGAGTCGCTTGAGGCCACGAGTTTGACACCAGCCTTGGCAATATAGCCAAGAGATCCTGTCTCTAAAAGGTTTTTTAAAAAAATTAACTGGGCACGGTGGTGTGTGCCTGGAGTCCCAGCTACTCAGGAGGCCGAGACAGGAGGATCACTGGAGCTCAGGACTTTGAGGCTGCAGTGAGCTATGATGGCACCACTACACTCCAGCCTGGGCCACAGAGCAAGACCCTGTCTCTAAAAAATGAAGGGGAAAAAAAGGAAAACTCAAGCCTGCTCTCATTTGAAGGCACTTTGATCCACTCTCCCATCCCAGCCCCCGTCCTTACCCTTACCCCGTCTGCAGTGTCCCTTCCTCCTGCCTCTCTATCCCCAGGCAGACACTCTTCTTCCTCCATGGAGTGCAGAGCCCCAGGTTGGGCCGTCAGCCAGACTCTGTGACTCAGGTTCCCGTCAAGTGCAAGTCACCTAATTTGGGAAGGTCTCCGCAAACCCCGGGCCTCCCTCTTACTATGCTGCAGAAGTGGGTGGCTACCGTCTTGCAGCTGTCACGAAACAGGGAGTCCAGCCCAAGACCCCTCCTACCTTGAACACCTTGAGGGCCCGCCAGGACGCTGACTTGTTTCGCCACTTCCTGTAATCCAGGGGGTTGAGAGCCCGGACCAGGGTCTGAGCCGTGGTCTCCTGGTAGAAGAACAGCGGCCGGTACTCATCGCCTGTAGGGGGGGCAGGTAGGAGGTGGCAGGTGTGGCCGAGGCCGCCTCCGTCCCCAGAACACGCTCCCCTTCTCCTCCCAGCCTTGCGAAGGGAGAAAAACCCAGTCCCCGGCCAAAGGCAGAGCATCCTGGCCCCCTGGCTGGGGGCCCTGCACTCACCGTAGTCGTAGCTGTTGGTATTCGAAGACACCAGGTCCTCCTCGGAGTCAGAGAGGACCTCTGCAGGAGAGAGGTCCAGCTAGATAGCCCAGACCCTCCCCAGCTCTGTGCTGGGGGAAGGCACTTCCGGGACAGGGCAGTTTTAAGGGTGCACGTGTCCAAGCCCTCTCATTCATTCATTCACTTTTACGAGGCAGGGTCTCACTCTGTTGCCCAGGCTGGAGTGCAGTGGTGCAGTCATAGCTCTCTGTAGCCTCAGACTCCTGGGCTCAAGCAATTCTCCTGCCTCAGCCTCCCAAGAAGCTGGGACTACAGGTGCACACCACTGTGCCCAACTAACATTTTTATTTTTGTGTAGAGACAGGGGTCTCACTATGCTGCCCAGGCAGGTCCCATGCAATCCTCCCACCTGGGTCTCCCAAAGGGTTGGGATGACAAGTGTGAGTCATACAGCACCCAGCTGTGTGTGCTTTATATGCATTTGTGTATGTGTGAGTGCAGAAGAATGTGTGTGGATTCTACCCCAAGGCCTCGAGCACTGAGGATTCCTAGGAGGGTCAGCTGGGCAACCGCATGGAGGGGGATCTGGCAACCCCGGACCCACAGGAGGCGAGACTGCTCACCACAGCCCAGCATGTGGCAGGGACCTTGGGTGAAGGAGTGAGAAGGGCGTGAAGAGGAGACAGTGTGGCGGGGACAGTGGCAGCGGTAGACAGGCAGCGTAAAGGGCGAGCAGCTCTTGGTGCCCGGCCGCTGGGGCTGGACGCAGGCCCTCACCTGGGGTGCCTGGCATGGAGTAGACCAGGGACCGTCTCCGTTGCCATCGGTAGATCCAAGTGCAGAGAATCACGGTGGCCACATAGAACACATAGAAGCCCAGGTACCCTGCGGCAGGCCGGTGCCGCTGTCACCAAGCAGCATCCTGGCTGCAGGCCCGGCAACACGCTGGCAGGTCCGCGGCTGGCCCGGTCGGCGGTGGCCGCCTGTGTGGGCCCAGCCCGGTCCCAGCACCAAAGCGGCCAGCTGCCATGACGCCTATTCTTCTTCCTGCCTTCCAAGGTCATCCTCCCTTCCTGTCTCCCTCACAAGCAAGGAAGTGACACCAGGTGCAGAGCTGGACCTCCAGGCTCCCTGGGGGCATCCTGCCCCATGCCTGGGAGGCTGAGCACCAAGGCTGCACCCCCAGCACTGGCTGTACCCGGCCCCGCCCCTGGGAGGCAGGACAGGAAGTTGGAAGCAGCAGGAGAGAGAGGCTGGGCTATCTCCTCCCCACTCCCTGTAGGCACGGGTCCCTGCAGCTCCCACGGGACTCCAGCCACCCCGTTCCCTGCTCCCGCCATGGGGGATGGGGCGGCCCAAGCTCCCACTGCTGGGGGTTCCTCGGTGTCTCCAAATCTTGGTGTCCCTTGTTGGATTCCTGATCCCTCTGCACAAATGTCCCTCCATCAGACCTTTGGAGCCATCTGAACGGGATGGGTCTGCTGCCGGGACCCCACTGGTCCCAGTCAGCATCCCGGCTGTATTGACTGCTAAAATTAGAAACTGTGGCCGGGTGCGGTGGCTCACGCCTGTCATCCCAGCACTTTGGCAAGCTGAGGCGGGAGGATCACTTGAGCCTGGGAGTTCGAGACCAGCTTGGGCAACATAGTGAAACCTCGTCTTTACAAAAAATCCAAAAATTAGCCGCGTGTGGTGGCACGTGCCAGTAGTCCCAGCTACTCGGGAGGCTGAGGTGGAAGCATCACCTGAGCCCAGGAGGTTGAGCCTGCAGTGAGCTGTGATCACGCCTCTGCACTCCAGCCTGGGCAACAGAGACCCTAACTCAAAAAAAAAAAAGAAACTGTGAAAATTCTGAACACCCTGGCTGTGCTCAGCCCTCCTGGCGACCTGAACCATGCTCCTGTTTTTGCTGAAGCTGACTTGAGGAGGGTTTCTGTCACTTGGAATCAAATCAATCCCCCCACTGGCTTCCCTCAGGCCCCCTTATCCCGGTTGTCCTGAGCCCCCATCCAAGCCCCACGGCTACTTACCCAGGGCCCAAGCCAGCGTGACCCTGCCGCGGAAGAGCACAGTGAAGGTCAGGAACACAGCCACCATGTAGAAAATGATGTCCCTGAGGAAAGGCCTGGAGGCGGCCATGAAGGGGCGCAGGATGGCGATGCCCCCGGCCACCACTGTGGTCACCAGCACACCCGCGCCTGGTGGGGGACACCAGAGCTCACCCGCTGCCCCAATCTCCCCACTGCACCCCCACCTTCCCCTGCCCCGTGGGGGCCTCTCACCAAACAGCGCCCCGAGGGCCAGGCCAGCTGTGCGTGGGTCCGAGAAGGCCACCAAGGCGCTGAAGATGTCAGGCGCGCCATTCCCAAAGGCCAAGAAGGTGACGCCATGGGGAAGCGTGTCAAGGGGGGTCAGTGCACGGACTTTCCCGGGTCATGATCTGCCACCCTGTCCCCCAGCCTCCATCCTAACTGTCCTCTCTGCCTCCAAGGTGAGACCCTGGACAAAAGGATACTGCCACATTGTGGGAGAGCTTGAGTGTGATGGAAATGGCCGACAAGTTGGGGCAGAAACTACGGAGAAAACGCAGACAATGAAGGCTTCCACGGCAACCACCCCTGCCCGCGTCTTCCCAAACCTGGGGTCACTGGATGCCAGCCTCCTGGGACACCCTCTGCCCATCACTGAGCAGGACCTGAGCCCAAGACCACACTCACAACTTTGCTGCGGTGACTCCCAGAATCAGAAACAGGTAAAGCAGCCAGAGAGCCTAGGTGGGGTGGGGGAGGGATAGTGAGGTCCGGCCGGGCCACCAGTCCCTGTCCCCCACCTCCCCGGGCAGGGCCTCACGTGGAGGGTGACGGCCAGAGGGAGGAGGCCGGGAGGAAAGTGGCAAAAGATGCCCTCCAGGTAGTCCAGGTAGCCGCCTTCGCTGCGGCAGTCGGGGTTGGTCCGGATGAAGCCACAGCGGTCAGAGACGTTGAGGCCACACACGCTGCGACACTGCAGGGAGAGAGTGGGACGTCAGGGGCAGAGCCCCCAAGGGTGATGGCCCAGGTCCACTGGAGCAACTGACCAGAACTTCCCTTTGGTCTCCAAGCCCGCCACACCCTCCAGCGCCAACTATGCACTTATTTATTTTAGAGTCTCACTGCAGCCCTGACCTCCTGGGCTCCAGAGATCCTCCCACCTCAGCCTCCCAAGTAGCTGGGGCTACAGGCATGCACCTCCACGCCTGGCTAATTTCTCGTTTTGCTCTCCAGCCTGGTCTTCAACTCCTGGCTTCAAGCAATCCTTCCAAAGTGCTGAGATTACAGGCATGAGCCACTAAGCCCACCCACTTTGATTTTTGAAAATAAACTTGTGCTTGAAATGAACACTAGTAACTCATGAATACACTTTTGTTTAAAAACAGTCAACAGATAATGATTTCTAACATCCGCCTTCTCATTCTAGCAGTCCCACCACAATCAGTTTGAAGCACATCCTAACAGACATCTCTCGGTTCAGTTACATGTGTATATGCACCACATTGTACAGTTTGTTTTGCTTTACAGAAACGGGTCCATCTTAATCTCTTGTTTCTACAATGTGCTTTTCCAAGTTTACATAGATATCATATTGATAAACGTTAATGCACACAAGTTGAAACATACTACACTGATTTCTATCTGCCAGGCACAGTGCTAGGAGCTTAAAATGTATCTATCTCAATTAATCCATACAGCAGTCCTGTGAGGAGGGAGCGATTATCATGCCCATTATACAGATAAAGAGACTGAGACAGCATCCTGGGGTCCACGAAAGTGGGAGACTTAGCCCCTCTGTCTCCCAGCAGGCTCTTTTTAAAATTTTTTTTAGAGATGGGGAATCACTATTTTACCCAGGCTGTCTTGAACTCCTGGCCTCACATGATCCTCCCACATCAACCTCCTGAGTAGCTGGGACTACAGGCCTGCACCACCATACCCGGCTAATTTTTTTATTTATTGTAGAGATGAGGTCTCACCAAGTTGTCCAGGCTGGTCTTGAACCCACGGGCTCAGGCAATCCTTTCGCCTCCCCCTCCCAACGTGCTGAGATTATAGGCGTGAGCCACCATGCCCAGCCATACCCGGCTTTACTGCAGTCTTTTTAACAGTAGTAGTGTTTCATCTCTGGGTGATCTGTAAATGGAGGTAACCATCTCCCCTCTGGTGGGCATTTGGGTGTGTCAGTTTCTTGCACATGACTCTCTGGGAGCATGGGAAACTATCTGGCCAGAGACAATTCCAGAAGTGAAAGTGCTGAGTCAGAGGGTGTCCCAGTCTGGGTTCCTCCAGAAACTGACTCAGAGACAAGGATTTGATGGAGGAGATGAGGGCGGTTTAAGGAACACGAACACAGAAACAAGGAAGTGAGACAGGGAAGGGAGCCGGGCAATGGAGGCTGGGTTGAGCCAGCGATGGCCATGAGCTGGATCCCACGGCCAAGGAAACTGGGGTGACATGCACCAATTCCCATCAGCCACTGGGTGGGACTTGCTGGGGACGGGAGTGTTACTTCCCCAGCACTTCTGGCCTAGCATGCCTATGGAAGGTCCTGGAAGAGAAACTGGCAACTAGAAGTCAACTAAAGCAGGGCCCGGCGCAGTGACTCAGGCCTGTATTCCTAGCACTTTGGTAGGCCTGGGTGGGAGGACTGCTTGAGCCTAGGAGTTCGAGGACAGCAACAGAGTGAGACCTCGTCTATGCAAAAATAAAAAAATTGTCCGGGCTCGGTGGCTCAGCCTGTAATCTCAGAACTTTGGGAGGCTGAGGCGAATGGATTGCCTGAACCCGTGGGTTTAAGACTTGCCTGGGCAACTTGGCAAGACCTCATCTCTACAATAAACCAGAAATTAGCCGGGCATGGTGGCACGCACCTGTAGTTCCGGCTACTTGGAAGGCTGAGGCAGAAGGATCAATGGAGCCCAGCAGGTGGACGCTGGGGTGGCCGTGAGTGTGTCACTGCACTCCAGCCTGGGTAACAGAGTGAGGCTCCAACTCAAAAACAAACAAACAAACAAACAAATAAATAAATTAGCCAGGTGAGGTGGTGTGCTCCTGCAGTCTCAACTACTCGGCAGGCTGAGGCAGGAGGATTGCTTGAGCCCAGGAGTTCAAGGCTGCAGTAGCCGTGATCATGCCACTGCACTTCGGCCTGGGTGACAGAGTGAGACCCCGACTCAAAAAAAAAAAAAGCCAGCCGGGCTCAGTGGCTCAGCCTGTAATCCCATGCCTTTGGGAGACCAAGGTGAGCGGATAGTCTGAGCCCGCGGGTTCAAGACCCACCCGGGCAACTTGGCGAGACCTCGTCTCTACAGTAAATCAAAAATTAGCCGGGCGTGGTAGTGCGTGCCTGTAGTTCCAGCTACTCGGAAGGCTGAGGCGGAAGGATCGCCAGAGCCCAGCGGGTCAAGGCTATGGTGGCCGGGAGCGGCCACTGCACTCCAGTCTGGGCGACAGAGTGAGATTCCAACTCAAAAAAGAAAAAAAAAAAAGCCCACCAAAATGGTAGAGTCCAAAGGATACAGGCAGGGCCCTGACAGTGCCTGTTGCCTATATGTTTTAGAGACAAAGTCCTGCTCTGTTGCTCAGGCTGTGACGCATGCATAGTTCGCTGCAGCCTCAAACTCCTGGGCTCAAGCAATCCTCCAGCCCCAGCCTCCCAAAGTGCTAGGATTATAGGGGTGAGCCACCACACTCAGCAGGGGACGTTGTTTAATGGGTGGAGAGTGTCAGTTTTGCAAGAGGAAAAGCATGCTGGAGACGGACGGATAGTGGTGACTGTTACACGACAATGCAAATACACTTACTAAGAACGAACTTCAAAGAACAGTTCAGGTGGTAAATGCCAGGTTATGTGTATTTCACACTATCTTTTCAAGCTTTGTCACATTGCCGTGCCATCTCCCACAGTTCTGTCTGACCTCCTACTACTGTCAAAGTGAGGTGAGGCTTCGTGTCTCTGAGTCCTCCGACCAGCTCACCAGGCCTTGCTCAGAGCTCTACCCACTACAGGGCTTCACCAGACTGTGTGGCTCCGTCCCCAGACCCCAAGTTTCACCCCCAGGGAGCAAGCACCAGTAGGAAAAACGAAATGTGGGCTCAGGACAGCCCACCCGCCAGCTCCACCTTCTAAAAGTTGTGTCTACAGTAATTCACTTCCCTTCTTTGAGCCTCTGTCTCTTCATCTGTAAAGCCAGACTCCTTATACCAACCCGCTGATAAAAAAGTCAGGCGACAGCACAGGTGTTGGAACTTCCTGTCCTCAGAGACTTTCCATGTAAAGTTCTTATCCCCTCAGCCCCACGACTCGTTATCTTTTCTGAGTCGGGGTCTCACTCTGTCACCCGGGCTGGAGGGCAGCAGCACAATCATAGTTCACTGCAGCCTCGACCTCCTGGGCTGAGGCAATCCTTCCACCTCAGCCAGCCCAGTAGCTGGGACTACAGGCATGCGCCATCACACCTGGATCATTTTGGGATTTTTTTGTAGAAAAGAGGTCTTGCTGTGTTGCCCAGGCTGGTCTGAAACTCCTGAGCTCAAGCAGTCCTCCCACTCTGGCCTCCCAAAGTGCTGGGATTACTGGCCTGTGCCACTGCACTCAGCCTGATGTTTACATTTTTAAATGGTTGGAAACCACAAGTCAAAATAATATTTTCTGACACGTGCAATTATATAACATCCAAATGCCAATCGTAAGTATTTACCAAGCACAGCCACGCCCAACCATTCATGTGCTGTGGGAGGCTGCTTTGACTCTGGCCACAGTGAGTCACTGCAGAGACCGTGTGACCTAAAGAGCTGAAAGTATTCACTAGCTGGCACTTCAAAACGTTTTTGTAGAGATGGGATCTTGCTATGTTGCCCTGTCTGGGCTTGAACTCCTAGCCTCAAGCAATCCTCCCCCTCGGCCTCCTAAGGGGTTGAGATTAAAGGTGTGAGCCACCATGCCCAGCCTCTATCTGGCCCTTTATTTTTATTTTATTTATGTATTGGGGGTGAGGTCCCAATACTCTGTCCCTCAGGCGATCACAGCTCACTTCAGCCTCAAACTCCTGGGCTCAGGCGATCCTTCTGCCTCAGCCTCCCGGAGTAGCAGGGACTACAGGCGTGCGCCACCATCACCATCTAGCCTTTTACAGAAAAGGTCTGCCCCCGAGGCACCCCAGCTTGGGCCTGGGACTCTCCAGCCACTGTTCCCACCATAGAGATCAGAGGCAGGTCCCAGATTTCTGCTCTGAGAGGCCTCATCCCTCCCCAGTCCCTGCTCCTGGCCCCCACCCACAACAAGAGTCAGGCGGACCTTTGCACACGGCGCCTGGCGGGCTTCAGTCCTGCCCTAAGCCCAGGCCCAGGAGTTTCCCAGGGAGAGAAGCTCACCCCAGGGGGTCCCAGGCAGCCCAAGGAGGGAGGCCCTGGACGGGGCCAGGGAGGCAGACAGTACCGCTTCCTCTTCTGGGCAAACAGCGGCAGTAACGGTCCTGGGGCTGGAGCTCCCATCCGAGGCCGCCTGGCTGGATCCTAACTTGACTCCTTCTAGGCGGGTGACACGGGCAGGTGAACGAGCCTCGCTTCCTCCTCTGAGCCATGGAGACAAGCCTACCCACAAGCCCTGGACAGGACGAGATGAGGACCACGGGGACCTCACAGTGGAGTCAGCACTTACGGCTGCTCGGTGAGTATGAGCTGCTATCTTAGCATCGATGTTTTCCATTTCCATTTTCCTCGTGAGGGATACTTGGGTTCATCCCTTCCTTCCGTCTTCGCCACCACAGAGGACAATCGCGGGGCGCCCATAGGCATCCCACCCCAGTCTCACCAGAGGAGCTCTTTTTTTGTTGTTTTTGTCTTAATTTTTGAGTCAGGGTCTCACTCTGCCGCCCAGGCTGGAGAGCAGTGGCACAATCGCGGCTCACCATAGCCTCGAACTCCTGGGGTCAGGCGATCCTCCTGCCTCAGCCTCCCCAGTAGCTGGGA